TGTGCCGAATTGGGCGCGGGTGGTGACGCATGCGGGCGGTGCCACTGGGGCCTTCGGTGGAGCTCCCTATTATGCGGCCACGAAACCTGTTGTTGTGAGAAGCGTGCCCGGATGGGTGGCGGGGACGCATGTGAGCGCGGTCGCTGGGGCCTTCGGTGGAGCCCCCTATGGGGCCACGAAGCGTGTGAGGGGTGTGCCGAATTGGGTGGGTGTGGGTGACGCATGTGAGCGCCGCCGCTGGGGCCTCCGCTGGATGATGGGGCCACGCAACGTGTGAGGGGTGTGCCGAAATGGGTGTGCGGGACGCGTGCGCATGTGAGCGCTGCCGCTGGGGCCTTTGGTGGAGCTCCCTCTGGGGCCACGAAGCGTGTGAGGGGTGTGCCGACTTGGGTGCGGGTGACGCATGCGGGCGGCAGCACTGGGGCCTTCGGTGGAGCTCCCCATGGGGCCACGAAGCGAGTGAGGGGTGTGCCGAAACGGGTGTGCGGGACGCATGCGGGCGGCAGCACTGGGGCCTTCGGTGGAACTCCCTATGGGGCCACGAAACGTGTGAGGGGTGTGCCGAAATATGTGTGCGGGACGCATGCGGGCGGCAGCACTGAGGCCTTCGGTGGACCTCCCTATGGGGCCACGAAACGTGTGATGGGTGTGCCGAATTGGGCGTGCGGGACGCATGCGGGCGGCAGCACTGGGGCCTTCGGTGGAGCTCCCTATGGGGCCACGAAACGTGTGAGGGGCGTGCCGAAATGGGTGTGCGGGACGCATGCGGCGGCACACTGGGGCCGTCGGTGGAGCTCCCTATGGGGCACGAAACGTGTGAGGGGTGTGCCGAACGGGACGCATGCGGGCGGCAGCACTGGGGCCGTCGGTGGAGCTCCCTATGGGGCCACGAAACGTGTGAGGGGTGTGCCGAAATGAGTGTGCGGGACGCATGCGGGCGGCAGCACTGGGGCCTTCGGTGGAGCTCCCTATGGGGCCACGAAGCGTGTGAGGGGTGTGCCGAAATGGGTGTGCGGGACGCATGCGGGCGGCAGCAGTGGGGCCTTCGGTGGAGCTCCCTATGGGGCCACGAAACGTGTGAGGGGTGTGCCGAATTGGGTGTGCGGGACGCATGCGGGCGGCAGCTGGGGCCTTCGGTGGAGCTCCCTATGGGGCCACGAAACGTGTGAGGGGTGTGCCGAAATGGGTGTGCGGGACGCATGCGGGCGGCAGCACTGGGGCCTTCGGTGGAGCTCCCTATGGGGCCACGAAGCGTGTGAGGGGTGTGCCGAATTGGGTGTGCGAGACGCATGCGGGCGGCAGCACTGGGGCCTTCGGTGGAGCGCCCTATGGGGCCACGAAACGTTGTACTGGGTGGGCGAAACGCAAGGGATCAGGGATCAGGCCGAGGCGCGACATCCGATTCGAGTGAGGGCTGGCGGGCAAGGAAAAGAGGGGGGCGCGGGATTCCCGCCGTCACGGTCCCGCAGCCCACCGCACAGGCCGAGGGCCACTAGGGCACGGACCGTGGCGGCAAGCGGCTCACAGGCACCAGCCGCCGCCTACCACCATGGCCCGCCACACCTAGCGGACCTCGCGACCCGCGAGAGCAACATCAATGCGCCAGGACTGCACTGAAGCCCTCTCCGCAGGGCCTCGGCAGTCCGCCACGAGGCCCCTCCAAATTGGGGCCTCAATGGGTACTCGAGCACCGCAGCGGCGGCACAGCAGAAACTTGTCCGTGGCCTGCATACAATGGCCCCGATACCCGGAAATCTCGGGAGCCTGCACATGCAGGCCATCATACGTGAACCCAAGTTCACGACACGCTGAAAGGACCGCGTCACTGCGCGCCCTCGGAAGGATGCCATTGTGACGCTCGGCCCTGGTCGCCGACAGATATAAGTGGATCGGCGTCGGCTCGCACTTACTGCCAGGCTGCTCCAGCTTAGCGCGAGAGAGCGCAGTCTTGCCAGAGCAATGGCACCGCGCACACCTCACCCCCCCCCCCTCCGCCACCTCCAAGTCGTGAGCGAGCAAGGAGAGCTGAGGCACGGCCATGGGGTTACGGCCTGGCCTCGATGACATGGCAGGGGGTTCGGCCTGAGACGCAACGAACTGAGCGACCTGGCCCAGAAAACGGCACGTCTTTTTCATGTCTTTCAGCTGAGCTTTCAGAGTGTCGGTGGCGATGCTGGCTACAGCGTGCCGCTTCGCTCCCAACTTAGCAAAAAAGTCAGCCCACATATTGCCCAGATAATCGAAAACCGCCGTGTCCACGGATCGATCCAGGCTCGGAGAACGCTCACCAAAGAGGAGGGAGTCGAGATCTCCGTGGGCAGGAGTCCAGCGAGCCCGTGGCCTATCATCAGACGGGGCTCCAGCTGGGCACACCTGAAACATCTCGCGCCAGATGCACGCATGCTTATGGCTGCCTTCGGCTAGATCGGCTGACCAAGCAGTGGCTTCATGCACCGCCGATAAGTGATCGCTTACAATGTCCACACTTCTCGGGCCCAGGCGAACCGCCTGCAACATCGCGTACCTCTCGGCCCTGGGCACAGTTTGACTGGCCCCTGGGAGGGGCCCAAAACAAGCCCGAATGGGCCAGCCCCCAAGACTAAGCTCGACAACAGCCCACCCGCAGCGACGCGCTTCGGGTAGACCGAAAGGCCAGAGCCATCCGTAAAAAGGTGAAAGCCCCACGGCATGCTCGTGGCACCCCAAACCTGGGGAGGATATCTGGCTGGGACAGGCTCAATGCTAAGGGGAAGAAGAGGAACACCGCACGCCAACTCAAGAGTGTCGAAGTCGGGGTGGGGGGGGGGGGGGGGGATTCCTTTAGCCTTGTCCCGCAGCCATTTACATGCTCAAGCACATCGTCTGGGAACATGGATGCCTCTTCTGGGTCCTGACCAGGCTCCCAGACTTTTTTGCATTCGTACCACTGATTGCCGAAAGATCCAATCGCACCACACACGAATTCACACTTAGGACTGGCTGCGTAGCCATGTTTGTGCTCCTTGGCTGGCGGCCAAAGCTTACCACTGATTAGGTCTCTCAAGGCCGCCTGCCTAGAGGGGTCCTTCACAGCAAGAATCCCTAGTCGGAGAGCTCGCCCCCAGACAGGTTCATCACCGCCAGCCTCGGGGATAGCTTCCAAAATCAGTCGCACTTGGGCGCGGCAAATGCCTTCGCGCAACCTCTGCTTGACATCCCAGGGGCAAGTGGTGAAAAGCGAGATAAATTCGCACTTGTCAGTCCGGGGCTGATGGTGGGAAATCAGATCCCAGCCAACTCTCCTCAAATATAAAATGACCGCCCCGACGGGTCCCTGCGCACGATTCCAATGGGGGCGATCTCTTAAACGGGCCTGAGCAGTCGAACAAGCTACTCTCAAGTCAGAATCGGACGCTCTACGATCCCAGACCCAGCGACAATGCCTGAACACTAGCGGGATCGTAGCATCAACGATGGGGTCAAAGCTGGGATCCTTATGCGTGAACAAGAACCCCGTCACGTGAGACGCTCCACCCGCTCCCATAAGGCTCCCAGCTATGGCCCTGAGGGTTCTGAACGTATTATTGTTAACACCTGGAACTGAGGCCCCGTGGCCTCCACTTGGCATGAGGCCTGTACGCCACAAGCCAGCAGCCTTGGTCCCAGCAGATTTCTTAAGCACCTGGATGCGGCGCTTCCTCCTGACCAGCGCAACTCGCCTCTTGGCTTCCACCTTTCGGAGAGCACGCCGCCCAAACAAATCGTGACCAAGGTTTCGCATATGCTCATAGCCTCGCATGCCCATCAGCTTGGCCGACGCTGCCACTTGCTTGGAAGCGGCCAGGCTGGTGGCAACAAACCCTGACTTGTTGGGTTGCAGAAGAAGGCCAATCGGACGCACAAGAGAGCATACCTCCCGAGCCGCAGCAAGGACCACCGTTCCTTTCTCAGGGTCGGGTCCAGCCCAGTGCAGCGAAACATCATCCATTAAAGTTCTAGCCTGGACTGGAAATCTTTCAATTGCAAACTTAACTGGCTGCAGAAGCACAGCCAACATAATAACTGTCGCTGCCGAGCATCCAGCCAAAACCCCCTGGAACGACACAAATGGCTCCGAAAGCGAGCCGAACGCATCGATTCTCCGAGGGGCCAGGTAGGTCTGAATGACCATCCACCCGAGACGGAGCGGGAAACCAACCTGCCGAAAAATCTGAAACAGGACCGAGAGCTTTATCATATCATAGCATTTCACCATATCGAGCAATAGGGTGACTGAGCGCCATCCTCTGGCGCGGGCAACTTCAGCAGAAAGGTTTAAATCGAACGCTGAGTCCGATGAGCTTCTCCCCTTCCCAGACCCCCAAAACTCCCGAGCACGACTCCCCGTCTCCCAATCATCAGAAACGGAGCGTCTAATGCGTCCCCACACGTGTAAGATAGTGTCTAGGATAGCAATTAATCTGTGGCCGCCGTCTGGTTTTGGCACCCTGACAAGCCTGCTTACTAATCGCTTGCTTGGCCAAACAAGAGCCTTCTCGCGCTGCATCAGAAGCGACGCTAGAACAGCTAGCATCGCATCCGACAGGTACTGAAGCGAACGAGGGTGGATCTTGCAACAGCCCACCGCCGTCTTCGGGGGAAATCTCGAAATCGCACTCCTCAAATCGTCGACCCCGATCGGCGGCAGACTCGCCCAATCCTTCGAATCGCTCGGCAACTGCAAGTCTTCGCAAGAGTGAGTGGTCCAAATGTGGGACCATTCACGACGCGCGTCGCCGGCAAGCTCGAAAGGTTGCATCCGATGCTTTTCGGTGAGCACCTCTTGGATTCCACGAACCCTGGTAAATCGGTGGGCAGCCTTGGCCCCCTCCAAAAAGGCATCCCCGACCCAAGATTTCCAGGCTTCCTCTTTGCTGGCCAGAAAAACGGCCTCCTTTTCCTGGGCCAGGGTCAAAACTCGTTCCAGCAAATCGGGCGTGGACGGATCACCTATCACATCCACTCCAGACCTGAAAAAAAACCTGCCGTCAGCTCGTCGAGGTGCGCGTGCACCCAGTCGTGCCTCTGGATCCTGCCAAGGAACGCCACAGTGTCTAGCAACACCTTGGCGACCCTCTGCATCCTCCTCGGCTGCTCGTCGATGTCCGAATCCAGATTGGGAGTGTACGACTCGAGCACAATCTGCACACTTCGCAAGTGCCTGGCCCACCTGGCCGCGGCACTCCACGCTGCATACTCACCAGAGGGACGAGGCTGCCGATGCTGAGGGACCGCGCGGAGCTTTTTCCATCTAACCCGATGCTCTCCAGCCCTGCCTCCATAGCCGTGACGGAGAGGCCCAACGAGACCATGTCGGCCGAGCAGCTCAGCCTCTATGCCCTGGATGGTGAGGTCCAAAAAGTGAGCCATCTGCTCGGCATGATCAGCGCGCTGAACGTCTTGATGAAACTTCTGCCAGTCACGAGGATACCGACCACAACCAGGCCGAGCCAAGACAGGAAGAGCTTTAGGTTGGTCCGCAACACGGCACCACAGCACAATGTCCTTGGCGTGAACCTGCATGAGCACGGGCCTGTGAGGCCAGAGCGCAGCTGTATCCACAACCTCAATCATCCCAGACCGAATGGCAAAGCCCTCGGACATGATGAAGTAGTCAATTGTCGTACCTGGCGTGCTCTGGATGCGTGTGGGCGCAGACGGCGCCACCAGCACTCCACCTATTGAAGTCGCCCACGGCTGCAACAGAGCACGATCCATGTTATAATCAGCTGCAACTATCCACTCATATCCCAGCGCTTTCACGCGAGGCAAGTACTGAGCTAACGTTGTGAGCAGCGACATGATCTTCTGCCCCATTTCCTCGTTGACGTGAAGATACTTCGACACCGCCACGAAGCCACTCTTGAACCACGTGTGGACTGTCGCCGCTACGATCCTCTCGTCCGACAGCACGCCCTTGGTGTCAGCAAGCATGGGACCTGCCGCCACCCGCACTCGCTTGGGCGCAAACACCGCCACGCCACCACTGGTGCCGCGCCCTTGGCCCGTCTCCCTGGCTGGGGCCCACGCTCCATGGTAACCTACCGCATCCATGCGGCCTTGAAACGCTCCCAACTTCTCTGCTGTGACACGATGTTCCTGAACACACAAGATAGGCTTCTCATCCCCCAGCACAGGAGCATCTGCCTAAAACATCTCAGCCAGGGGGGTGAAAGATGTAGTGTTGACTGTAGCAATACGCGTCATGATGCCGATAAAACAAATCAAAACCGCAAGCATACCCTGCAACGACCGGAGCTGACTAGGCCGTCTTGAGCCGCTTCGCGAGAGACGCCAGCATCGCTCCAGTCCTCTTGGCTTCCTCTCGCAATTCACTTTCATCTTCTGGCACCTTCTGGACCACTGAGCAGAGGGACTCACGCAGAACCTCAGGGGAGTCAGCCTCGGACGGGATGGCCTGCTCCCAGTTCTGCCAGTGCGCAGCGCGCGCCGCAGCAGCCGCCTGCGCAGCCTGATCAGCCTCGCGCTGCTGATGCTGCTGATGCTGCTGCTGCTGCTGCTGCTCCAGCTGCTGCCGCTGCCGGGCTTCCTCGGCAGCACGGCGCTGCTGCGCGCTGCGCAGCTCCTCCGCCGCCTTCGCCTCCGACAGGCACTCGAACAGCTTCTGCGCCAGCGTCGCGTTGCCGCCGAAACCCTCGAGCAACTCGCCGCACTTCTCGACCGAGAGGTTGCTGGCCATGAGCTGCCTGAGCTCGTCGGCGCCGCCGTCGGACTTCGCTGGAGCTTTGGGGGCGCCAGCCACCAACTGGCACCTCTCTGCCTCCATCTCCGTGATCTCGTTGATCGTGGCCTGTAGCGCCTTGGCGGCGTCGTCCACCGCCTGCTGCGCCTCGACCACCACCTGCTTGAGCTCCTCGACCATCTCGGTCTGGCGCTCCGGTTTTTAAACCAACTTCGTGTGCTGAAAGGACATTTCCTTGAGCCGCGTGTCCAGAGATTTGCCACGAGTGATCTGACCCCGAAGGGAGGTCTGACGTGCTCGCAACTTCCCCCGCAAGTCATCAAACTCTGGGCCAACGAAGTCTGCAACCTTCTGCAGCTTCTCCGTGATGTCCCCGAGCTCCTTCCGAGCTTCTGCATCGCTGTCCTTGCCCGCGTCGACGTCCATGGCATCACTCTCGGGCTTGGGAGCGACATCCTTCTTCCGTAGCTGAGCAACTTCCTCGCGCAGCCGCTTGAGCTCAGAAGTGAGCTTAGGGTCTGGCTGCGCCTGTGCCTTGGTCGCCGACACCGAGGAAGCCGCAGGTTGCTTGATCCCCGCGAATGCTGACGCCTTGGGCTGCTTGCAGAACGAACAGTGGTCAAGGTCCGCTCTATTCCACCACCTGTCGCCAGTCTGGTGCGACCAGCAATGCTTACAAAACCATGGCTTGGCCCATGCCTGGCGTCTCTGCGTATGCCCAGACGGCGGTGCTCCGCCATGAGAACCGAGAGATGGCGCCATGGGCCTTCCGTAAACTTCTGCAAAAAAGGAAATTGTGCTGTGCACAGGCGGGAACCCCGCGTACAGTACACAGTATGCAGCAGCGCCTCCAGGCCTGGGCAGGCCACTGGGGAGACGCGAGAGCGGTCGGGGGGGGAAGAGGGAGGAGGAGAGGAGAGGAGGAGAGGAGAGGAGGACGCGGGGACCGTCTCTTCAAAACGTGGACCCAACACCATAGGATGTCTGGGAAAAAACATTCACGCAGTGGGGAAAACACACACACAGCTCTGTGTCTGTGGGAAAAAGCACAATGTGTTTTGTGTTCCCACAGTGTGTGTGTGTGTGTTTTCTCCCACAGACTCTGCGTGTGTTTTTTGCGCGCGCTTCTTCCCACAGTGTGTGTGTGTGTGTGTGTGTGTGTGTGTGTGTGTGTGTTGTCGAGAGGTAGGAACGGCCGCGAGACATGCGCGTCGCTTCCTGAGGAGCGGCGCAATCCCCCTCCCCCTTCCCTGGCTGGAGCGCGGAGGCGCCGCCATGGGACGGCGCCGGAGGCGCAGCCACGGGTGGGTTCAGCGCCGACCCAAGACACGCGCGGCGCAGAGACAGATTCTGTTTGTGCAGTTTTGCTTGTTTTTTTGTTTTGTTTTGTTTTGTTGTTGTTCCTCTCTCTCTCGAGGAATTTGCCATGGCAGCAGTGTCGGTCTGCTCGATCTCTCTCTCTGCCCTCCTGGTGCACTTCTGCGGCGACAGCGGCTGCAGTCACAAACCGTAACTAGCGACACTGCGGCCGCTGCCGCGAGCTAAAGGGTGACGCCGAGAAAACGCGCAGACTCCGTATCTGCCAAACCCTCCAGGGTGCGCTCCACATCAAGCGAGGCAAGCGCCAAAAGATACGAACTCTCGTTACAACCGGCCAAGAACACGTGCACCCATGTAAGAACAACAACCTTCCAAAAAAAACCGTTCCGGCATTCCCACGACATGTTCTCAGAACTCCAACAATGCACACGGTGATAATCTTCTTATAACACAAGCCCGATGTGTTAAAACAGGACGGTCTCAGCCAGAAACGTTCAAAGAACATTTCGTGCAGGCCACAACAGGCTCTTAGACCATGCGTTGGTGGGCCTATAGGCAAGCCAGGACGCTTCGCCACTGCTCGAACGATCGAACGCGTAACCCGAAAAGGCGCCGCCCAGGCGGCGCGCGCGAGGAGGAGGAGGAGGAGGAGGAGGAGGAGGGGGAGGAGGAGGAGGGGGGGGAGGGGGAGGAGGGGGAGGGGGGGGAGGAGGAGGAGGAGGAGGAGGAGGAGGAGGAGGAGGAGGAGGAGGAGGAGAAGGAGGAGGAGGAGGAGGAGGAGGCGGAGGAGGAGCGCCGCGAGGCCGTGCGCGCCCCCGCGCCGCGCTGGAGGCTCCACCCGCAGTGGGACCTCTGGGAGTCCTGCGTGGTCCCGCTGCGCCTCCGAAAAGGCGGCGCCAGAGCCCCCACCCCCTCGAGATCGACCTGCCCATATTTTCCCATATTTTCTGGGTTTCTGACTTCCCCCCCACTTCCCATATTTTTTGCATATTTCCCTGGGAGTCGACGATTAATTGTGTCTGTGTGTTTCTTTTCCTCCTGAATACCCGGAGAGCCGCGCGGGGACCCTCCCCCGCCGGCGACCCGCTGCCGAGCGCCCGAGCATCGACCGGCCCGAACGCTCGCACGCAGAGCCCGCGGGCCCGATGGCAGCGCCTCCGATCCTGAGATCCTGGCGCCCGTGTTTTCCGATGCGCGCGATTTTTGTTGCCGTATTTCGGGCCCCAGGGCCCTCGGCCTGGCTTGAAACGTGCCGCAGACATCGGGGAGGGCCTGACCCATGACGAACGAACAACACACACCCATACCCATAAGGGGGTCGTTGGGAGGAGGATTGGCTATGGGTATGGGTGCGGGTTGTCGGACCCTAGGGAACGCTCCCGTTCGAGCGGGGACCCCCATCCAACAACACGCACCCATAGCCCTTTCCGACCCCCGTATGGGTATGGGTGTGTGCTGTTGGTTCGTCAGACCCATATCAGCCCAGACTCGGGTCGGCCAGAGCCCTGTCGCAAATCCCGGCGGCTCCCAAAACCCGTGTCGGCGGGACGGCAGACCCGGCGACTCCCAAATCCCGGCGGCTCCCAAACCCCATGCAGCTCAAGACCCCGGTCCGCGAGAAGGGACTGCCATCCGCGCTGGCCCCCGAAGAGAAGTGGGGCCTATAGTCGGGGTACATGGGGTCGGAGGATCGCGCCGCATCGCCGATACATCGGCGATGCACCGCCGATGCATCGGCGATGCACCGGCGACATCGGTGATGCATCGGCGACGCCATCGTGGAGAAAGTCGGGCTCCACAACGAGCCGCATCGCCGATGCGTCGACGACACGGCGCGATCCTCCGACCCCATCTACTCCGACCCCCCCCCAGGAGGCCTAGAGTTCAGGGCCCCGATGGAAATCTTGTGCGCTGACGCATTTCTGCTGCGACGTCGGATCTGCTGCTCTGTGCTCTCTGCTGCTCTGTCCAAGCCCGATTGGTTTTCGCTCGATTGGTTTTCGTTGGAACGGATTACCTTTTCGCTCGAACGAGCGTCTTTTCGCTTGAACGATCCACCCTCGGGATCACGGGGGATCCTGCAGGGCGGGAACCTGCCCATGCCCACCGCCCGGGGGAGATCGACCTCCGCGGGCCTCGGCGGGCGGCGGAGAGATGTGGGCACGACCGCCCCCGCCCCCCGGGGATCTTGCTTCCTGTCCAGGTCCACCGCCTGCCGCCGTAGAAGAAGAACAGGCGGCGTGAACGGAAAGTGCTGGCGCTCCGCGCGGATTTCTCGGGTCTGCGCTTGGTCCCCCCTCCCTGGCGCGCGGAGCGCGTCAGGGGCGGCGCCGGAGGCGCCGCCAGGGGGGGGGGGGCTAGCGCGGATCCAAGAAATCCGCGCGGAGCGCCAAAACTTTCTGTTTATGCCGTTTGTTCTTCTTCGATGCCGAGATCCCCGAAAATCGGCCCCTTGGCCAGTGGCTGCTCAAGCGCGGCCCCACTACTAAGACTGGCGGGGTTTGGGCACCAAGAGCTGGTTGAGTGACGGGGAAATCCCCCAACCAATAGACCACATGTGTGGTATAAAGGTGGCCCAACTAATTACAAACCTTTCCGAACAAAGATATTGCGTGACGATGCGCAGGGGTTCGATGCTCGCGAAGATGTTCGGGATCAGCAGTTGGAATGCCGCTTCGCGCCATGCTTAACCTCTGCTGTGACCAGCAGCTTCCGTGGCGCACCCCGCGCCCTCCAGAGGCCGCCCTCGAGCCGCATGCACGAGCCGACCCTCGCCATCGCTCGGACGTCCATTCCTCGTGTATGTTTCGATTTCGCGCGTGTTTTTTGCCAAATGATCAAGGATGGTCCTCGACGGCCGCCGCCGAGAAAAAAATGCACACGTCCGAGCGAGGCCAGGGGCCGGAGGCGAGGCGAGGGAAGTCCGGGCCCGAGCGCCCGCGCTGGGGCCGCCGCTGGCTGCGTCGGCACGACACAAAATGGGGGCCCGCCAACACGAACCCCACCGCAAGAAGCGGGCAAGAGGAGGAGGAGGAGGAGGAGGAGGAGGAGGAGGAGAGGAGGAGGGCCTATCCTCCTCCTCCTCCTCCTCCTCCTCCTTCACCTTCTCCTCCTCCTCCTCCTCCTCCTCCTCCTCCTCCTCCTCCTCCTCCTCCCCCTCCCCCTTCCCCTCCTCCTCCTCCTCCTCCCCCTCCTCCTCCTCCTCCTCCTCCTCCTCCTCCTCCTCCTCCTCCTCCTCCTCCCCATCCTCCTCAGGCAAGAACGGGAAGCGCCGCGGTAGTCAAGTGGACGTGTGGGGCGAAGGCGGAAGAAAAGGAAAAGGAAGGCGGGGGCTACGAGGAGGCGGTGAGGAGGACGACGTGGAGGACGTGAGGACAGCAGGGAGGAGCAGGAGGACAGCGAGGAGGAAGAGAAGCACAAGGACGAGGAGGAAGAGAACGAGGGCGAGTACGAGGAGGAATGCGGAGGACGATGATGACGACAACGACGGAGGACAGTCAGAGGCAATAGGAGAAGGATGTAATCAGGAGAGGGTCCTGCCGAGGTTTCTTGGTTAAGGGTTGGGATGCCTGCACTTCGAGATTGCGGCGGCTTTCCGCGCCGAACGCCCGAAGAAAGCCAGGGAACCCTGACGAAACGTAGGGTGATTCTCGTCACGGGCCCCAACTGTACTACAGAAGAAGAAACAAATGCTTAAGCGTAGACCTTCGTAGGTCCGCGCGGATTTCTTGGATCGGCCCTGGATATCCCCCGCCCTGGCGCGCCGAGTGCGCCAGGGGCGGTGCCTGGCGCGCCGCCAGGGAGCTCCGCCGTGCAGGTCCACGGAATCCGCGCGGACCTCCCCAAAAAAGTTGGATGCCCCTCGAGCCCTCGAGACAGCAGCCTGCTCTGCGGAGAATGCGGTCGCAAAGCCTACTCCAGATTTCGTAATAAAAGGGAGGGGGTCTGGACCCTCCAAGACAAGCCATTTCAGACCTCCCCCGTGGGAGGACCCTCCAAAAACATCGTCCCCAGACCCCCCCCAGGCCCTCCAAGATAGCCTTGAAGGGACCCCCCCCCCGAAATGAGACCCCCCTCCCTTTTACTACGAAATCTGGAGTAGACATCCCTCCGCTGGACCTCTCGCGTTTCGTCGGGGGCCCGCGGGCACGGCACGTCCAGAAGAGATCTCACCACCGCTGCTGCTCCGCGGGCCTCTCCCGGGGTGCGCTCTG